TCTTAAATAATTAATTAATTGTATTTATTTATATTTTCAGGGAACTCACTTTGCTTTTAACTGCCTTTAACACTTCAGATTCTTACCCTTTTTTAGATGTTTGTTGACACGTATGTTAAGAGGTTATTCATGTTTGGAATTTGTTCAACATTTTCGGAATACTCTCAGTTTATTTCTTGCCAATTGTTATGTCTTGTCTGTTAGTTTAGATTAAAGGAATGGTTTATATGATTTAGTGGCATCTAGTGGTGAGGTTGTAGATTGCAACACATCGAACACCCTTCCGCTCGCCCCTATCAACTATTGTGGCCTTCAGGTAACGTGAACATGTTAAATGCCCTCTTTTTGGTCATTGTTGCATTGGACAGTTGTAGGCTACTGTACACACAGAGGCCGACTATGATTTGTTGTTCTGTTTGGTGGTGTTTTTCTTGTGTAGCATAAATGGAATAAGTGAACACCACATTTCTTTGTGCAGGCCTGTGTTGCATCATGAAAATAAATTATCCTTGAAAGAACACTTGCTCTTATTTGTAAATACAGCTCATTTTCAGTTTAAGAAAACAAGATGATTCATAATTGCAGGTGATTATACACTAATGAAAACACTATAAAAAAAAACAAGTATTTGTTTTTAATTATTTCTAATATTTCACCCAAATCCTACACACTGGTCTTTTTGAAGTCTTGAAGTAGAGGAAAAGGCCAGCTTGGCTCACTCCAAGGTAAAAAGAAAATCATCCAACTGGCATCTCTCAAGCTTGCCAATTTACACCATATCTTGTTAATCTCCCCACGAAGCCAGACATTTCAGCGATTTTTTGCGTTCACAGATTTCACAGGTATATTTCTTGTTAGTCTTTATGCCAAGCTCATATAACGTCTCCGGAAACCACATTTTAATCCTTTCCACAGAGCAGGACCTGTATAATGATCTATTGCCTCTATGGAGAAATGTCTTATTTGTCAATGTCTTTGTGAGGAAATGTGGTCCTCATTAGTATAGAAATGTAAGAAAACACGCTGACACACACCTCATATCTTCATGCCACATGCGAGACGGGGCTCCCCTGTGAGTCAGTGTGAGGGAATGTCATAGAAGATTAAAATATGGGAAAGATGAATGGGTAGTGTGGTGTGTATGGGGAACAAGGATAGGGAAAGAGTGTGTTAAAGCTGATCTCAGAATAAAAGTTGCATAAAGCAGATTGAGATAGAGAGAAGAAATAATAACAAGTGAAATAAAAAATAAAAGAGATCCCACAGGCACTCCTTTCTTTTCATGGCGTCATGCTGTGATCTGCTGTTCACTGGTAATACAGTAGCAGACTGATTAACTCTGAAGACTGGATTCCAACCATCTCATTGGCAAGCTACCAAGGATATGTAGCAGGACTTCCTTTGAAAACCTTCAAAATAAAACAATAAACACGAGGGATTTTTACAAAATCATTCCAGAGATTTGGAAATAAATCAATTTATTCACAGGTATATATACAAATCTTGTTTTTAGATGTTTGTCTCGACACTATATATAGACACTCAATTAAATTGTGCACAGGAAACAGTGATTGAGTGAAATGTGAGCCAGGTATTGATCTGTTTTAAAATCCAGAGCTAATCTTGAAGTCAGCATTGTCCACCTCTGATGTAATGATTTATCTGTTTCAACACAACTTGATTGGAGAACTCATCACCGCTGAGTATCTATGAGAAGCCTTTCAGGTGATGCTAATGTGACATTTGATCTAAATCCACTGTTCCCCTCTTTGTTGTCTTCTTGTGCTTTTCGTTTTTCTAAATTTGGGATTAACACGAGACATACCTGTCTCCCTAAAAACCTACGTAACCAGTCAAAAAAAACTGCATTCTCTATTATTATTTGTAAAATGAATAAGCAAATCTTTTTTAACACTTTAATTTTTTTGTTCGGTATGAACAAGGTAAGCTCATGTCTTAGGTCAAGTCAGCACTTTGGCAAAAATGCAGTGAGCGTTACATTTAAGTAACAGGCTTATGTTTTAAATGTTATATTTCATTCCAAACACAAACAGCGGCCTCTGGGGTGAAGATCCCGTGTCCTTCCTTATGCAGGCGTCAGCAGACTGACCACGAATGTGAATCTGTGAATCACGGAAAGTGTATCTATGAAACTGAAAATATTTTTGGTTGCAATGGAACGTAGTTCGTGGAACAGGCAGAACGTTCTAGTAAATTATATTTTTAAAGTGGCCATACAGTGTGAAGCTCTTTGGTCAAATGACCTGCTGGACAGAAGAACAATTATGACTTGAACACAAACAAATGAAAAGGTTAATGGTGATGTTGGCAGTAGGTAACTTGCCACCATAACAATAGAGTGGTGCAGTAATCACGTATTTTTGTAGGCGAAACCAGAAGTCAGCATCACAAGGGCTCCCTACTCAAAATGTCCACATTGGATTTCAATATATTGCAGAAACTAAACTTTGAGGCAAACACTTTTTTATGATACCTGACACATTTTGTTAAGCAGGATAATCTCCACATATAAAAACCACTTGCAAATGCAATTGGAAGAAATAAGAAAGCTACGGTTATGCTAAACTAACTGCATCACTGTCTCATGGCTGCGCGTCATCGCCGCTAAGATAGAGGCGGACTCTTGTCGGCGCGATGACGGATAGTTGTTTATTTAGTCAATGATAGCAACTGCCGTTTCTATGAAAAACAGAAGGTTTGGCCATTCACCAGTGGAGTGTTTACCAGAGGTGTGGACTCGAGTCACATGACTTGGACTCGAGTCAGACTCGAGTCACACATTTTATGACTTTGGACTCGACTTGACAAAATCACAAAAGACTTGCGACTCGACTTGGACTTGAACACCAATGACTCGGGACTTGACTTGGACTTGAGCCTTCTGACTTGAGGTGACTTGCTACTTTAATTCAGGAGTCTCCAACACGCTGATCGCGAGCTGCCGTTAGAAGAGAAGACTCCCGTCGGGGAAAGCAGAATCTTCAGCCGCTCCTACTCTTGCTGAGAATCCTTGCAGGCAGGGGCGGGTCTTTATTTAGCTGGGCCACCATGCGGCCAATCATGCGAGGACACACTAGGATCATGGGTGGGGGGCAGACGCTCCAAAGAGAGCAGGTGTAGTGGTACAGGCCAGCTGCACAGAGCGACGGGGAGACGGATTTAAATGCAAGTGCGTCGGAAAAAGTCAAGAAATGAGCGAAAACCGAAAAAAGAAGCAGCATCTGCTGCTTTTCAATGATATTGGAGAAAGCAAAGCTGAGTGCAGGATTTGTAAAATGAAAATAACCTTCAGAGCAGGGTTTTTTTTTGGTAACCTCAGGATTTACTGTCAGAGGTGGGAGAAGTTCAGATCTTGTACTTGAGTAAAAGTACCAGAGTGTAGGAATACTCAGTTACAATAAAAAGTCCTGCATTCAAAAAGTAAAAGTAGAAAAGTATTAGCATCAAAATATACTTAAAGTACCACCTGCAGAGGGATCTAGATGCAGGTGTTCTCTTCCCCATAGAGACCGCCTCGCTGCACATTATCCCTTGCATAAAGATAGATTGTGGGTCCCTTACAACATGTTGTACACAGTGGAAATAAACATTCTGGTTACCTCAACATCAGGGATCTTATACATTAAACTCCTTCTGAATCAAACCGTCACGGTAGCCTTACCTTACTGATCCCTCTTAAATTAGAAAAACACACGTTACTTTACCAGCAGAGAGAAAATGGATTATTAAATTATTAATGTGACTAATAAAGAGCAATTTGATTATTAAGTATTATTCTGTTGATCGATGTCATTACATTTGGTGAAAAGCACATAATGACTTGTTTAAGACTCGTTTTGTCAAAGTGTAGGACTTGCCCATCCTGACTTGAGACTTGACTCAGACTTGCAAAACAATGACTTGGTCCCACCTCTGGTGTTTACTGACATAGAAAAAAAGGGGAAAATCGATTCAGCTTGTGTTAACCAAAGACCTTATTTAATCTGGAAATGTATCTCCCAAAATGACTAGGAAAAAAATAAAAGTAAATAACAGTTGTCATACCTTGTTATTAAAGATGATAGGGATTTGACTTTGACGAGGAAACACATGACAAATAGCAACTAAAAGAGACTGATTGGATTTGACCAAATATAGTTTGGACCCAGCTGGATTACTAAGAACTAATAAACACGAATGTTGTTGTCACTTAATTTCTTGCCATTCTTTATTTTTTTTGTGTCACCTATTGCCAGCTGGTGTTCACTATTTACCAGCCATGACTCACCAGTAGCTTATTCCTCTTTCCCAGCATCTTCAACTGTGCAATAGAACCCCCTCTCTGGTGACCTTCATCTGTTCATCTCTGGTCTCTCCGCTAATTTACTATTAATGACTTCCTTAATCAATCCTCTGTTCTTATTGTGTCTGCATTCTATAGAAATAGGCAGAACATTGTATAGTGACTGTGGTTGTCACTTTAAAATCTCACTTTTCAGAAGTCCACTTTAGCTTTTTTGAATTTTACCTCGAGATTCTTAATTCTTTGTAATTGACTGGATTTGAATTATCTAAGGAATTAGTGTTTAATCTAAAATAAGACACATGGAGTATTGAGTCTTTGAGTATTTGGTTCAACTTTGGTTTTCACAATGTCTCTAACCAATTCATTCATTTCTTCAGTGTATCCATTCATTCCTCCACATGACAGCATCAGGAGCGAGCCTGACTTGCAGCCATAATTAAGGATCAGTGGATGAGCAGAGTCCTGCAGGCTTTTTTTCTTTATGATCCCCTTTGCTAACATTTGCAGTGCATACAAATGACGTCAACCCTGTTGTCTTTCGTTATTTAACGTTTTCATCTGTATTGAAGGGGCTTATCTTTTATTCTATTGCATGCTTTTACTCTGAAGGCAGATGCAGCCCAGTCTCACAGCTGTTGCCTTGACTACACCCCCCCCTGTTCTGTCTCTCCCTCTCTCTCCGTGCTGATGCCTCTTTAAACCTGGAGCTGCCACCAGGAAGGATGCTCTGCTTGCTTACTGGAGAGAAAACATAAATAGAAGAAGAATAGATATTTGTTCACAAGGAGGTAGTTTTCGTGGAAGCAAGAGACCAACTCAGTGAGAGAAAGTGTGGGAGTGTGTGTCAGTTAGACCCTCGGACTCCCCACTCAGTGATGTAAAACGTGAAGGTGGATTTTGGCATGTGGAGGAGCAGGTAACAAGGTAAGCCTCATGACACTTCACTGATCACTCACAGCATGGAGTTACAAGCTGTTTCCTCGCACGACTCAATATTAACTGTTAAAAAAGAAAAGATATTGACACTTGGTTTCATCAGCAGACAGGCGTAATCGTGAGGTGTGAAGATTTGGGCATAAATGAACAAATAAATAAAGTTCCCCATGCTGTTTTATGATGAATGAGAATGGATTTGCTGTAGGTGTTGAAAATGTGGTGCATTCACAGTGAGAGTTTGGGTGGATGACGACACTTCCCTCCCCCAACATTGTGGGATGAAAATGTAATCAATGAAGTGATTAAAAAAGTGGCATTATGGGTGAACGGTTTGGTGAAGCCCGTGGATGTGACTCGTTTTTTTTAAGCCGTAACGAGATTGCATGTGTACCCAGGCCGAAAAGATGACAGCAACACACTTCACAAGGTGGATAAGACCCTCCCCGAGAAGCTCAGCGGGGGTGACACATGCACGGTGTGAAGTTGGCGGCTGGTGCGCGGCTGTGAGTGGCCCTGCAGCAGAGCACCACAGTCCTTTTTCTGTACCCCCCAGAGTAGCCCTCTAAAAGCCTGTGGGTGGGGGAATAGTGTAGATATACTCTTTCATGTGGATGAGTGCTTGCTAAAAAAAAAACTTCTATCCTGACCTTAACTATGAGAAACAGAACTGAATTATAAATGAGTTAAGCTCCAGAGAAAGGGACTCGGCTACTGACTTGGGCGGGCATTAATGGAGTATGGCAATGACTCCGAAAATTGCGTGCAAATTAAATATTTTCGTTGTAATGGAGAGTAGAGTTCAGGGGAAAAAATTGTCAGGAATGCATTTGTAAGCCGGATCTAAAAATAAAAAAGGGGCGTTCAGGAATAACAGTTCGAAGTGCGTCAAATCTCGTGTCGATGAATATCAAACTAAGTTTTCTTCGTGATAAATGCTTGTCGTTTTTCTTCTTCTTTTTTTGTGTGTCTGTAAGCAAGAGGGATGCTAATGGAGGAGAGATAGGATACAGGCGTCACCGCTGCAAGATAGAGAGAGCGTGTCTGCGAGAGAGTGTGTGAGGTGTTTCCATGGCAACCTGTCAGGGGTGTGTTTGGTCCCCGGAGACGGTGAGGAAAGGAGGGGAGAAGAGAGATGAGAAGCGAGGAGAAAACTATCCCTCGTTAAGGGTGAGAGGGGGATGGGAAAGGAGATAATAGAGGGAAGAGGGAAAGGTGGTATTGTCTCCCCTGCCCCCCCCCCCCCCCCCACCTTACATTACCCCTCCTATTGTTTTCTCCTTTCCCGGATTCCTTCCCTTCTCTCACGCCACCTCCTCTGTTCACTTGAAAGTAACTGTCGTGGCTTCGTTGGTGTCATACGCGAGGCGTTCACTGTGATCATCAAGTGCATCAAAGTGTTTGAACTCGTCGTAATTCGTGATCATTCTCTTTCGGCTTTGGTTGACACATACTTCCTTGAGGTGTCTTTAGTGAGTCATACTGACCGTGACCAGAGTCTCTACATCCACAGTTCAGACCTGTTAATTTATCACTCGTCCTCAAGAGACTTAACATGCAACCATGTGGCTGCATCAGCCAGCTGGACACTTTAATTTCCTTTTACATGGAGCCATTAATGTAGGGAAGCGATGCCAGTCTTTGGACTTAATCTGATTCGTTTTTTTAGTGCTGATTAGAGCTGATCTCTTATATTGGCGTTGTTTGGACCTCCATGATCTGTGGCTATTAGCTTCAACCCAACACATCCATACCACACCAATAGCCAAATATAAAGACCCCAACATTAATATACAAGGAAAACGCAATGTAAAAATGAAGGCAGGAACACTAAAGCTCTAAAAAAACAACGTTAACATTATTGTTAAAGGACAATTGCCATCTGTTGCAGCAACAAGTGTCCATTTTTTTTTTAATGACGTAGGCCTACCATTGAAAAATATAAAAGCCAGTATTCTGATACTTGGTTCTTTGCCAAAATGGCATAAAAGCTAAAGACAATCTCATCAATTCAAAAGGTTTTTAAATGATGCCTATATCTACTACTTGCACAGAAGTTAAGCAAATAATGCCCTGGTGAATTAAAATAATAATATGATGAGGCAGGGGCCTCATTTATAAAGCCTTGGGTAGGATTGACGTGGGAAAGTTGCTTACGTAGGACAAAGCAAACAATTACGCACCGACATTTTCCGATTCATAAAAGACTGCGTACCGGCGCAGGACTTGCGTACGGCACTTCCTACGCCAGTTTCCCTTTATAAATCACAATCGACTCGAAATGCGGCGCAGCTTTTGCGGGCTTCACGTAACGCCCATATTTGCCTATAAATAGTCAAAGAAACGCCCATTCATTCATTTTGACTGACTTTATGAAGAAGATCGCAGGAAATGACGACAGAACAGCTAAAAAAGACATCTCACACTGTGTCAGATTTTGGTTATTTTGGGGAGGTCGAGATAAATCATATTGTTTGGTGGATGCAGTTTGAACCAGAGTAGCAGCATGGAGGTCGGACTCATCAGAACAGAGTGGGCGAGCTGACCAATCAGAGCACAGTGGGCTCACAGGGAGGGGGGGGGGGAGGCACGAGCTCCAACAAGCCGTTTAGGACAGAGTGAATACACATACTATACAGAGATGCTGTAAGTATGAGAAACCAATGTGAGTTTGGAAAATTGCACAATTTAAATCTATTTTAGTATACGTCAACAATGGAATTATGATCAGTAGAAATGGCCATGACATGGGACCTTTAAATAAATGCAAGGTGTTGCACTGACGTATCACTGAGGCCTGCTAAGCAGTCACTGTGTTTAAGAGCAGCTGCTGCACGGTCGTACTAGAAATAATTAATGATCAGCTGTCCTTCTACCAGTGCCTGTTTTATTGTGCTTGCTAAAGTAAGAATGACAGAAAGTAGTTAATTAGAGGGTAAAATGATTTGTATTCAGACAAATTCAAGTTGAAATTGTGGGTGTCTTTAACACCTATTCTGCTTTTAGTGCAAAATAAAGAACAGCTGGCCGCCTGAGCAGCGCCATAACTGATGAAAAGACTAAAGTAGCTTTAACAATTATCTTAAGTGTTTCTTAAGTATTATTTTTTTTCCAGATGTTGGAGATTTCTGCGAATATATGAACATGCTTCTATTTGTCTGACCGAAATCGTATCATGCTGTTTTTGCATTATTATGTAGTGATACAGTATGGTCAATGATATGGATTACCAATGCAAAGCAAGTTTAAGAAACCTTTTTTCCTTGAACGGCCAATGCTGAAAATGGTGGGCCACTGGCCAAAAGCAAACACCTATTGTATTTTAATTTGTTGTGTAAATACAAAATGGTTCTAGCATAATCAATAATAAAGGATCCTTACTTACTTACTTACTTACTTACTTAAAGAGCATGTGCACCTAACAAAACAACTGAAGAAATAACTATAATTTGTAGTTATTACTAAGATAATAATATATATTGTGGTTTTCGGTGGGAGATATCTGGTGGACCAAATAGGACCTTATAGAAAATTCATCCAAACACGGAATTATAAACGATAAGGTTCTTTAAATGAAGTGATGCAAATGGAAATGCTTTTGCGATGGCATTAAGAACTCCCTGACCTCCCAACAAAAGGCTCCATTGGTTGTCTATGCAAGCCGAGCCCCCAATGTCTTTTAAGCAAATGTTCAAAGTGGCCAAACAGTGGTACTACAAGTAGAGACTCTTTCCCATTGACTCTTCCAGTTCTCTTTAAACATCCATGATGCGAGCAGCTTATTACGTCCCATATTTACGTTTATTGTTGGGCCGAGATTTCAAGTGGCAGCAGTAATTATGACCCAAGGAAGTAAGGTGATATACAGAACTAAAAAGTATGCGTACGAAGGAGGAACAGGTCAAACAAACACAAGACCTTTTCCAAGGATTAAAAGTTAACATCGATGCCAACATTAAACATTAAATTATGCCACGTGCATATTGCCCCAACCTCACGTACACAACATACCTAAGTTACGTAAAAGCAGTTATTTTGACCTAATTGTGATCTTTTTCTTTTCTCTTTTCAGGAATCCTGAAGTCAAATGTAATACCTTTTAAGACCTTTTTTAAGACCCTTTCCATACATTTTAAGACCTCATCGCCACTTTGAGTTTTAACCGGTTACCTTGGCGACACACTTTACCTCACATTGACTATATACAGTATTGATTGTCCTTCCTCCTTATCTTCCAACCATTTGGACGCAAACTTGCATTTCCCCATAACGATGTTGTTTAACAACCGGCGTAAACGGACCTTCACACGCTATCAAGCAGTGAGCGTGCGATGTCCCGTTCAGATGACGTCAAATCCAACGGGATGCCAGAAATAAACTACACAGAATCTCACTACACAACTACGCAATGATTACATTCAGGCAGACTGTAGAATACAACCTCTTTGGACAATTGATATACTTATTGAAAACAAGCTACAAAATGTAATACCTTGGAAAATGCTGTTTAATACTTTTTAATAGCCTTAATTTTCGCTAAATTGATTTATCAACTTTTAATACTTTTTAAGACCCCGCGGACACCCTGTAACATAACCAGGTCGTTTTGTTGACTAAACCTTGAGCATGTTAACCACATGTTTGAATCTGCAATTGTTCACCTGTCGCTGTTACTCTCCTATGATCAAGTGTTTAGTTATTTGAGCCTTTGACAAATAACCTCTTCTTTTGATTGTGTATGAGGAGGTTTTTCTTCAAGAGCCTGCTCAAAAGATAGTTAAAAAGTAAGTAATCTGATGGGTTAATCTAAGGAGGTTTGCTAAAATGGCTTAAAAACTAAAGACTGTACTAAAAGAGGAAATTCCAAATTCAAAGGATATTTGTGTTGTGCAAAACAGCTACAGTGAAGATTAGTTTTAAGGAACTGTTGTGTAAAGGAGGTGGCAGAGAAAGTGATTCACACATATGATTTAAGACAATAGAACATATAT